TGCCGAGCGTGTGCTTTCCCCATACTCAAGTGTCCAAGTGTCCAAATGGATCTGTGATTCATGTGGATGTTCCTTCCAAAGGTGCAGATCACAGCCCATCCATGTTTACCCACCCTGGGTGACTGTTGACCACACTCACTCCAGGTTCACCAAAAGAGGCTAGAGGTCATCCTCACTTGCTTACTATTATCCAATACCTACAGCCCTTCACCTAGGCCGCATGACCAGCCCATCCTGTCATATAATTCCTTGATGACACCTTGCTTTGTGAAATTCCCTTTAGGTTCTATGTCACCTTCTGCCCCCACCACCGGGCTTCTTCACTACTGTCAAGGTGATATTCGGTTTAATTCTTTGGGGGCTGCTGTGTTTCACATCTCATTGTCATATAGCCAGCAACATGAGTAGAGGGATACTATGAAAAGAAAGTCTTTGTTCTCGTAGAAAGCTTAGGTTACTAAAAGAACTTTGCAATTTCCCCAAGGGAATACAGTCCTCTCTCCTCCTGCTCTTCAACTCCAGGCCTAACTTGTTGTCCATCTGTATTGTCCGTCCCTGATACACAAGCTCTGTAAGGTTTCCGTCCAAATGCATGTCGCAATCTGGACAATAGACAGTCTTCATCCACTTGGTCTTCACTGTGTGAATGATCAAGCTGGACTCTTCCAAGTGATTACGGAGAGTTTCCAAGAGATTGTATAGTGTTCTGGGGTTTGGTGCAACCTGAGCAGTGTCATCCACAAGGAAGAACACTTACATCCCCTTGGAAGCCAGAGAGCAGTGGCAAGGATGTGTAGAGGAAGGGTGTTATCTGACAATTGTGTTGGCTAGGAGGAGGAAGGCTGGATTTAGCCATTAGGACATCACTGATGACCCTGAGCAGAGTTGATTCAGGTGAATAGCTCAGACAGAAGCCAGATTATAGTAGATCAAGAGCGGAAGGGGAGCAAAGGAAGTGGAGGTGGCCTGTATAGTGTATCAATTCAACAATTAAATTTAACATCAGATATTAAGTGCCTGCTAAGCTTGAGGCTCTGGTCTTGTACTGAGGATGCAAAGATTGGTTCAGCACAGTCTGAGAACTTATGATTCAGTACATGGAAGGAAAAACCTACAAATAATGAGGCGATGAGGCTGAGTAAAAGAAACTCTTGGGAGCTCCAGGAAATGTGCTGCGAAAAGTTTGAAGAGTGAGGTCTTTTCTTGCTGAGGAAGCCAAGGAAGGCTGCATAGAGAGGTGACAGTGTCCCAGAAACTTGACCAACATTTACTAAGCACCTACTGTGCGAAGCCTCCTGGGCTTGGCCTTAGGGAAGATACAAGGTGAGGAAGGGCAGTCTCTGTTCCCTTGAAGTTCACCATTTGGTGGGGAGCGAGATAGGACGCAAACCAATGACAACTATGTCACTAAAATGGAAATGAGCCTATTTTTACTAGCTGCCTCACAGGGTGGTTGTGGTGGGAATGTTTTGTGGACGGTAAAGTGCTTCAGGAAACTCAAAAATGCCTGGGGTCCCTCTTTTTGGGACCTACTCTTACGAGTTCCGTAGAGGCCCCAAGAAAGACCTGATAATTCAGACTCCTCAATCGCCAGACATTCTCAGGCTTTCTGGGGGGCCCTGCTGGGTCTGAACTGTAAACTTTACTATCAGGTCGTCCTCAAGTAGTCCCAGGCTGATCTTGGTCAACATGAAGATTTCCTAACGATTTCCTCACTTGCTGCCTTTGTAACATCAACGCCCTCTGGTTGTCAGGAACTATGGAGCTCAACCAGGGTACATCACTGCTGTCTTCCCTCTCCCCCAGCAAGGCATGACTTTATCAGTCCTGAAGACAGGGTTTCTAGTTAGAAAGTAGAGGTGGCCATTCTAGGGCTGTGCTGCCCCCTGGTGGTCATCTGTGATTCTTGCATGGTCCATCACAGAAGCACACCAATGTCAAGGGTGGTCACCCTTAACAGAGGTCACCCAGTACAAACTCTTCTTTTTACAGAGAAGGAAACTGAGGCTCACAAGGGGAAAACAACAAGTCATATACATTTCATGAGTTAAATTATGATGTCCTTGCCTATATTTCATGAGCTAAATCACTGGTAGAGGTCATAGGGCCAGGAAGTCCACGGGAGGTAATGCCATGCAGGGGGAAGGAGGCTGGATTTGGTATCAAAGGGCTTGCCAATGATTAGCGAGGTTGCTTTCAGCAAACTACTTCTCTTCTCAAATCCTCAATCTCTCCATTTGCAAAATGAGGTAGTTAGATGGGGTGATTTCTAAGTCTTCCTATCTCCAAGTACGTGATCCTGTGGTTGTGAGGAATGGATATTGGGCATTGACATCCTAAGTACTGGCACCACTGTGGACTGTGCAAGTCATTGTGTCCTCCATCCACTCAAGAGGTGGACCCCGCTGCCTTCGCTTGTCTTCCTCTCCTGTTCACCCATTCTCGCTTAGCTCTTCCCATTGCCGTCTCTACGGGCCCCAGGGACAACTATGGCCAGTGCAGTACCCAACCAGCAGACCTCTTATTGAAGCAAACATTCTGTCACTGATAGTGCAATAAACAAACAGATAAACAGACAAATAAGTAAACAAATAAATAAACTTTCAGAGTGAAAAAATGAGGCCAAACAATCACTAGAGAAAAAAAGGATTGTGGGATGTGGGTTCCATTTCCTAAAATATATGACCAAGTAATTTCAAAGGTCACTTTTTAGAAAGTCACAAAAACAATTATGGCACTGGTGATTCATATTCTAAAAAGTAGTGAGTATATTTCCTTGTTCTATTTATTTATTTATTTATATTTTAGTTTAATTTTTTTTTTATTTTTTCCATATACTTTTGAGATGAAAATTTTTCTCCCTTCCCTTGTTATATTTAAAAATTTATCAATGCCTTCTGTTTCTTACATCATAATCAATTACCCATATACCCCCACCTCTACTGAGCCTTATGAAAAACAGTGAAGCAAATCCGACCAACCCAGCAGCCACATCTCCAGTTTTCTCGCACAATTCTGTACCATAGCCACCTTGCTCCAGCTCTTTATTGATAGGCAGAAAGTAGGCTTCATCACTGCTTAGTACAGAAAACTTGAGTTTGACTGCCTCTCCTTTGTACTTTTCCCCTTAGTCCTTTTTTTTAAGTTCTATTGATGGCTTTGATTTTTATGTAAGTTATTTCCTGATACACCCCCTTATAACAGAGAAGTAATTAAGTGAAGTCAATCAACACAGTGATTATCTCTAAGAGAGTGTGCAGCATTCTGTACCCACAGGCCCCCTTCACGTCTCTGCTTCATTTTCTATCAGATCATACACACCTCCCTATGTTCCTCTGAATTCTTCACACTCACTATTTCTCACTGAGCAAGAATCGTATTCCATTCAATCTTTGCATCACGTGTTCATTGCCTGCTGTAGTGAATTGTCTAAGAAATAACTTCTTTGACCTTTCTCATATTTCATCAGCTTTCCTCGACACTCAAGTACTTCATTCTCATGTGTCTTAGAGAAATAAGAAATCAGGCATATGGTTTGCTAACTGTAAATGTCCTTTCAGTTGCCTCTTTTGGGTGATAGATAACCTATGAGTTTTTTCTCCATTCTTTTGATCTGAAAAAAAAAGGAATCTGTCTGTGGAGATATCTCAAAAAGTCAATCCTTGAGCACATTGGAATTGTGTCACCTTCAGCATGGGCTTATTCTGTGTCTGGCCGGTCGTTCTGCCTGACTTATCTTCTTACATACCTTACATAGTCATACATCAGTTACCAAGGTCAGAACTCAGATGTGTTAGCACCATTGTTATCAATGACACGAATAGACTTCCTGAGAAATTTTGGACAGTCTGTTCTTCTTTCCATTTCATTGTTTTCTTCCTTCTAGTTTCATCTCTAAATACTCGTGGCATGATCTGGCTTGGTTGAGTCTCCTGTTACTACTTTGGCAGCTTTTTGCTATTTTGTGAGTCAATACTGAGTCAAACCTTCCTACACATTGTCCTACAAATGAGCTTATCTGCTAAACCATGGAATGCCCTTGGATTGCCATGTTTCTGCCCTTGTAATGACCAAGTATTTGGTGGTTCATATAGTTTCTGGGCTACTTTGCCTCCTTGCTGCAGCAATTGATTAAACTTCTTGAAAAGAGGTAATAAGGAGAATTAATTTATTTTTAACCCATTTCTCATTTTCCAGAGTCAGATGCTTATTTAAATAAGTTGGGTTAATTCCTTGGTAATTGACTGTGGTGTCATCCTCTCATCTGTATCTAAGTGGGCATTGATTTTGACCCTTGCTCCAACAAGTCGATGGTGAGGTTTTGTACAGAGTGCTGATTCTGAAATAATTCCAGAGTTGGTTCCAGTACATTGACACAGTGTTAATCTGGTTTTGGTGAGCTGGTCAGTGCTCAGCATTCTCTGTGCCTTCTGAGACTTTTCTTCAAGAAAATACTCATGATCCACAGATATGACACTTCTGAGTAGTCTACAAACTATTGCCTTCTTTCATTTCTTAAATGAAAGTCAAATTTTCCAACTTTGTTGTTGTTTTTATTTTCCCATAAATCTGTCTTCTTTTTGAATTTGTTGGGTATGAAAGCCTATGTCACCTCAGTTTCCTCAACTACAAACTGGCAGGTTGGGCTAGGTAGTCTCAAGGGTCTCTTCCAACTCTGGATCAGAATCCTTGGCTTCCTTTATGTTTCACCTTCTGGAAGACGCATTTCCCAAGTCCTTCTGGAGCCTTCTCCTTTAGGGTTACCTTTCTCCTGTTCTGTAGATACTTTATATGTATATATGTATTAAATGTTGTCTCCTCCGATAGCATGAAAGCTTCTTGAAGGCCTGGATTATTTTTGCTTTCATAGCCCCAGAATTTAGCAGAGGAGAGCTGTGATTTGAACCCAGGATTTCTGACTCCAAATGGAATCTGGGGCACTACACTGGTTTCATATCATACATATTTAGAAATGTGCTTCTTTCTCTCCTCTCCCTCAGCCCATCTGCCAAGCAGCCTATCAGAATGACTTTGCTGAAGTCTGGAGGTGGGTGAAGGAAGATAACAGTTATGTCAATGTTCAGGATAGCTTCAATGGAGACACTCCCCTCATCTGCGCTTGCAGACGGGGACACCTGAAGATAGCTGCCTTCCTTTTACGCAGAAATGCCAACGTGAATGCCAAGAATCAGGTGAGAATGTCTGGGAGAACGGAGAGGACGAAGGAAGCTGGTCTCACTGCAGACCTGAAGCAGATCAGTGATGAACAGGCGGAAGAGGTTGTTCATTGCAATTGAAGGGGACCTCAGAGGTCACCTGGGCAAAACCCTTGTGTTATGATTCCCTTCCTCATTTTATAGATGAGGAATCTGGGGCCCATGGAGGTCAAGTGACTTATCTAAGGTCACATGGGGAGTAAGCATCAAAAGTGGGATTTGAACCCAGGTGCTGCTGACTCCAGAGTCAATGCTCTTTCTGTCATTACCACATGGACTTCTGTAGTGGTATAGAGGAAAGGACACTGATTTTATAGTCAGGAGACATGGGGAAGAATCATGGCCCTGCCTCTTGTTACCCATGAGCAAGTTCTGATCCTTCTCCATGCCTCAGTTTCTTCATCTCCCAAATAAAGGGGTAGATTAGATGTCCTCAGAGAGGTCCCTCCCAGTTCTAGTGCTATGGTCCTCTGGTCTACCATAAAACAGAATGACCACCACGCTCATTCAAGGCTCTGTTGTTGATAATGATGAGTGGGATGGAAGAGCAGCAGAACTGAGCTACAGAAGCTTGCCCCCTCCCCAAAGAGCAGATGCTGAAGTGGAGGGAAGCTCAAAGCCTGGAGGCTGATACTGGTCATCCATCCATAACAGATGTGGGGACACAGGCCAGGACGGATACAATGGCCTTGCCCTCTCCACTCAGATTTCATGCCTGCTCTGGTTCATTTCCAGAGGATCTTGGGGGCTTGCCTCAGACCCAAACAAGCCTTTGTGGTTTGTTGGAAGACAGCAATCCCTGAAATGACCTGAGGGAGCAATTAGGAATTGCCAGGAGCTAAAGGGGACTAACCGTAATGACCCAGAGGACCCAGCTTGTTCAAAGTACTTAATGAAATAATAGAGTAAACGTTGCCCCAGACCATTCCGCCATAATCCTGGGCACCCTGGCTCACAAGTACCCACACCATTAGTGGACAGCTTGGACATTGACACTTTTCTCAACTTCCTGCCCCTAGACTCTTCGGATGTCCCGTGTCAATGAACCATAGCGAGGACTAAAACCGAAGGCAAGAGAGCAAAGCTACCGCCTCCCTCCTGGCTCTCCGTCCCGCTCTGTGTGTGTGCGCGGGGCTGGCAAAAAGCCTCGCAGTCTTTGAGCCGCTCTGAGTTAGAAAGCAGCTGCCATTTGGGGAGTAACAGGTTTATCTCCCTAATCGGGGTCTGCTTTGACTAATATTAACCCTTTTTTCATTCGCTGATGATACCAGTTGGAGAAGGTAGCCCCGCTAACCGCGAGGTAATGGGGAAAATGGCCCTGGGATTAAAACTTTTCCTCAATTAAAGCCGAAATTGGAAGCTGACCAATGACCTTCCAATAGCGTGAAAATCCTCCATTAGGAAATGTAAAATGTAAGCGGAAAATGGGTGTCCCGAAATGACAACAAGGCGATTTTCTCGTTCTTCTTGTCCTTTGATTTGCTTTATCCCTAGAAAGAGAGAGCCAGCCTACATTACGCGGTGAGGAAACGGTTCACCTTCCTGGACTACCTGCTCATCATTCTCTTGATGCCGGTGCTCCTGATTGGCTATTTCCTGATGGTGAGTAAGGGAGAAGCGCGGCAGAACTGAGTCCCCTCCTGCCTCCCGCTCGCTCGGCGCTCCTTGTCGGGGGTTGGGCAGCTTGTTTTCTGTCCCCTCCTCCGCCCCCTCACACCTACTCCTTCCCTGGCCAGACTCATCCTCTTCAATAGAAGGGGGATGGGCCCGGCTCTGTACTGGGCAGAGCTCACTCACTGTAAACCTACATCTGTTGGGTGAGTCAGCCCAGGGAAGGAAGAAGCCGGTGGTTCTGTTTTCAGTTGGAATGACATTGATGAAGCTTCTCGTGGCCCTGTGCTGGCCCATTTGTGAGGCTTTCTAGGACTCTGGGCTTTTGGCCAAGCACTGGACTGTTTCCATTTGCTTTTGCGTCTTCAGTGCTTGGCACATGGTAGATGCCTCAATGCCCTTTGAGGAATGTTTTTAAAAAATTCTGCTTCCTGGTGTAGCAGGAAGAGAACAGATTTGGGATCAGGAATTCTGGCTTTGAATGCCACCTTGAGACGTATTAGCTGTGTGATGGGCAACTCACTCAATGTGTCTGAGCCTCAGTTTTCTCCTCTGTACAATGGAGGTGATAATACTCATGAAGCCTCCTTCAGGGGAAAGCACTTGGTTAATCTTAAGACAGTATAGAAATGGTGATTATTATTTATGGAAAGGGAAATAGGAGAGGTGGTGAGTGGTTCTACAGGGGATTACTATAACAACTAACATTTTCATAATGCTCTAAAGTTTACTAAGCACTTTACACAGACTATTTCATTTGATCCTTACAACTCTGGAAGGCAGGTGCTATTATTATCATCTCCATTTTACAGATGAGGAAACTGAGGCAAAAAGAGGTTAAGTGACTTGCCCAAGGTGACACAGCTAGTAAATGTCTGAGGCAGGATTAGAACTGACTCTATTCCAGTGCTATTTCCACGAGCTACAAGAAGACATAGCCTATTGTTTAAATGGTCTCTATAAACAAATCTGTCTTTAAGTTACCCCACATCATCCCTCTCCCAGAATCGTGTACTGGGAAAACACTTAAATTAATGTATATTGGTATTACTCAGGTATCAAAGACGAAACAGAATGAGAATCTCGTCAGGATGTTACTCCGCGCCGGCGCAGATGTTAATGCCACAGACTATGTAAGTGGATGGTTCTGTCTGTCTTGGAACAATGAAGAACCTTGTCATGGAATCTCAGAGTTGGAAGGGCCTTGGAGTGTATCCAGACAGAGCAAGGAGCCCCTCCCTCTGGAGCATCCCAGACAAGGGTCATCCCACCTTCCCTTGGGAGGGAGGGACCACCACCCGGAAGGCAGCCAAGACCCTTGGTTAGGAAGTGGTTTGGTTTGGTCTGGTTGGTTTTTATTGCTGGGTGTCAGGTCTAAAGCTGCCCCTCCGTAATTCATAACCATGAAGACCCAGAGTGGGTAGGGACCTCAGAAGCTGTCCAGTCCAGCGCATTCCTCCCAAAGAACTCCCTGTATGGCAGCCCCAAAGGAGGACTCTGCAACTAGTGCCCAAAGCCACCCAATAAAGGGGTCTCCCAGCAAAAGCTACTGGGTGTAGATAGGAAGCTCACATCTCTAGAGAATTCTAAGTTTGACGAAGACATCATTTTTGTTTTCAAAGATTACCTGCTGCCTTCCAAATCATTCACCTACTTTTTATGAAACTTGGCCTTATTTGGGTAAAGAATGATGCTTTGGACTAAATCTGAGCCTTTACTGGTTTTGGGAACTCCCAGAGAGGAGACTCCCTTTGCCAATGACCATCCTCTCTGCTCTGACACTCAGTCTTTGGCAGTGTCGCAGGACAGAGGGTGGGTAAGTGTCATCCAGATTCACACAACTGTTATGAGTCAAAGGTTCGATGTCCTGGCACCCAGGACAGTTCTCTGGTCATGTTGACACAGCCACAAAGTTGTGATATTTTTAAATGCAGACAAAGGAGACCCCATGCGTACAAAAGCAGAGGCCTGCAAACTTCTATGCAATGAAAGCCTTTCTGTTCTTGCATTTTCTGTGAGTGCCTTCGCTTTGAGCTCACAGGAACAGGTACATATACAAACAGCTCGGATGTGGAAATACCTCCTGGCCCAATTCACTTGGCTTTATCTGGGCTTTGCTTTGCCATTTCTCTAGTTCAGGGATGGGGAATGAGGCCTTCACTTCCTTCCATCCAGCCTGAAGCGATTAGCTTTTGAGTTAATAGAGCTCTGGACAGTGTGTAGCCCGAAGCAGGCAGCTTGATTGGTCCCAAGCATTCCAGAGCACTGGAAGACTTAATTAAAAGGTCATTGAAGAGCTCTGAACAATTAGGATTAATTCATTTAGTCCTGAAGGCTTTTGTACTTAGGGTTTTGTGGTTTTTTATTTTGGTTGTCACTTTGGATCCCAACTTTAGATTCTTACCTCTAGGATCCAACCAGGTGAATAATAACTGACTGACTTATTGTTGTTGGAGGAGGCCCAGAGGAAGAGAAGTAGAATCTGCATGAATGGCAGATGACTTATTGAATCAGTTAGATGGTGTGGTGGGTCTGTTATTAAACTTGGAGTCAGGGAAAACCCGAGCCCAAATTATGCCAAGACACTTCCAATGTGTGCAAGTCACTTCACCTATCTGTGCCTCAGTTTCCTCATCTGTAAGATGAAAGGGTTGGATTCTATGGCCCCTATGGTCCCTTCTAGTTCTGCATCTATATTCCTATGATTTAAAATCCCAAGTAAATTTCTGAAATGTAGAGTAGTCCTTCAAGTATAAAAATGAATTTGGCATCATTTAAAAAATAAATTGTGAATCATAGATTCCAAGTTCAGGAAAGACCATTCTGAGCTGCTGGCCAGCCAACCCCTATTCAAAGAGCAGCTATATCAGGCAATAAATCATTCTGATATCCACAGGCCACATTCTGACTGGGCCTGGCATTGTCCCCATAGAATGGAAACTCCTGAAGGGCAGGGCCTATGCCATCTTTGTCTTTGATTTCCTGAACTGCGTAGGGCCCCTGGCACATAGTAGGTTCTTTTTAAGTATTTGGTTAATTGAATTGAGTTGAATTAATTAGAGCATTTACCTCAGACCAATACACTCATCTTAATGTTTTCAGAAGAAGAAACAGGTGCTTTTTGGTTGACAGTAAACGCCTCAGAAGTAGGGAGTCTGCTGTCTGGCTCTGGATCCTAAGTGCCTAGCAGGGTGGGTGACTGGCACACATCAGGAGCTTCAGGAATGATTGTTGCTTGTCCGTGGAGGAGCTTGGAGCCCCCTCGCAGAAAGGGAGGGGCTGCATATAAGGGGCGGAGTGCTTCAGATGCCTACGAAGTGGCAGAGGGCCTGGATCAGGGCAACCTAAGGAGATGGCTCAGCCACCACAGCTCGGTGTCATTCCATAGGCTGAGTCCAGGGGAGAGGAGGTGGCATGGATGGCACACATGGAGGTGGCTTAAAAATGTAGAGATGAGGAAAGTGAGACTTAGAGTCTAAGCAGATTTCTCAGTGTTATACACCCAGCAAGAGATTTCAGGTAGGATTTGAACCCAGGTCTACCTGACCACTCACCCAGTGCACTGTCCACTGTGCTCTACTGGGTACATATTCTTGCTTCAAGGCTTCAAGGTTTAAAGTATTCACATAAGAGGCCTAGGTAATATAAGTACCCCAATTTCATAGTTGAGGAAACTGAGGCACAGAGGCAGAGTAACCGCAAGAAAGGATCTGAGCCAACTTGAGCCCAGCAAGTGTCCTGATTCCAAGCCCAGAATTCTTTCCCTTCTCAGTCACTTCTTAGCAATGATGTGGTCTCTTTAAGCAGGGCCGCCAGCCAGGAATGATTAATGTGGCTCCTTCCCACCCATGACAGTCTGTAGTGGTCCTTCTCTCCAGGTGATTCTCCTAGAGATGCCCCTGCCTTGCCCCTGCTCTTTCAGGATTCCCAAATTCACCCTGGGGAGGTTCTCATACTCACCTGCACTCACCAGTTCATCCTAAACGAACCTAAGTCCCGTAGGCAGTGCAGGACAAAGATGTAAACCCAGAACTTTAGGGACCGGGCATCTGTTTGAGAAGCATCTCCTGAGAGACATGGCCGAGTAAAGAGACGGCTAGATCAGAAATAGGAAAGAGCTGGGTTCGTATCCTGCCTCACACCTCCTAGCAGTGACACCATGGATGATTCCCTTTCCCACCTAGAGCCGCAGTTATGTCTTCCGTAAAATGGCGTTAGTAATGCCTGTAGGCTTTCTCTCTTCTCGGATCGTTTAGATGACAGCGTGTATTTAAAGGGCTATGTCTTTTTACTATTATCTCTGCATGGCCAAGAGAATGCCTCACATGCACTTGATAAATGTTGCTGACTGATGGGTTGGATCCGTTTCAGGCTGGCTGCACGGCTCTTCATTATGCATGTAAAATGAAAAACCAAAGCATCATCCCCTTACTTCTAGATGCCCATGCAGACCCCACCATAAAGAATAAGGTGAGTCACATCGTGTGCCATCCAAAAGCCCCACCATCAATGGGCTCTCTTAGAGCCCAGGGCTGTCTCCCTTAGACTGGAAACTCCTGGGGGGGGGGAGGTGGGTCAGGGACATATTGGTATCCACAGCCTCTGGGACAGAGCACATGGTAGTTATTTAATGCCTGATGAATTCCTCCTCCATCCCCTGAAAGATGTAAGCTGCTTGAGGTGGGGACTGCATAATTTTTCATCTTTTCTTCCCTTGGGCTTGGCACAATGCCCCTTCCCCCCCCCGGCCCTGACACCCACCCACAGAGCAGGCATTTAGTACATGTCTGCTGCTAGGAAAAATTGTAGCTTTGCTGATGAGTCTGTATGATTCATTGAGAGGAAGTAATGCCTGCCTTTACCTCCTTCCCAGCATGGTGAGACTGCTTTGGACATCGTGCAGAGATTGAAATTTCCTCAGATTGAAGCCATGTTACGGAAAGCATCCTAACCCTCCTGACATCATAGACAGAGCACCGGACCAAGGTCAAAGATTCTGGCTGGATCCCTGTGTTTGTCTCTGGTTCCACCATCTCATGACAGACCAGGTCCTCCATGTCTGTGCCTCAGTTTCCCCATCTGTAAAAAGGAGATTTTTAGTTGCCAGGGATGATGAAAATAATGTGTATGGTATTTGTACCAATGTTTCACCCTGAAGGATTTGCAGTGACCATCCTCCTTCTAAGACTAATGTCCGTCTTGGCCAAGGCCCCATTTTACCTAATGAAGTTTGTTTCTCAGATTTACTCACTCAGGTTTTCTAAATGGAGCAGATGAAATGAATGAGGCTGGTGTCTGTTTTCCCTTATTCCACATGCCCAGCCTGCCTTGTGTTCAGTCAGTCACAACAAGTCCTCAGTGATGCCCTTTGAGCCACTCCAGTCCTGCCATCCTCTGATGGCAATGTCTCACAGTGATTCCCACCTATTGATGCCTTCTGGATCACCCACAAGTTGGATTCATCAGAGCTCTTGGGCCCCTGACTCAAAGCCACAGAATGTTACCAGGAGAACAAGGGGTCTTCCAAAGAGGTTGTCTGTGGCAGGGGCAGCTTGGGGTCTTTGAAAAGCGCTGAGCCTTTCCTCTACAGCTTACAAATCTATGTCTTCCTGAGATCTTATCTTTCAAAAGTTTCATACAAGAGAGAGATTAAGACTGTTGGACAGCCACCAGCCTTGGTGGTAGCTTCCTCTTGTCTTTTGTTTATTTGGGGGGTTTTTTGTTTGTTTGTTTGTTTGTTTTTTGGTTTGGGCAATGGGGGTTAAGTGACTTGCCCAGGGTCACACAGCTAGTAAGTGTTATGTGTCTGAGGCTGGATTTGAACTGAGGTCCTTCTGAATCCAGGGCTGGTGCTCTATTCACTGCACCACCTAGCTGTCCCTCCTCTTGTCTTTTGGACCCAACAGCTGTCAACCGAGCTATGAGAAGGGTGAGCACAGCTGTAGGGTCAAACTGACCCCCACCCTCGCACCACCAGAGATGGCAGAACAGCCTGAGCTGTGACTAGGCTGGGGCAACTGGACCTTTGCTTTAACAGTATTTAATTTAGAGGGCACTGAATTTTGAAGGTGCATTCTCAGCTCCCCAGCACACAGAAACAACAGAGCTCAGTGCCTAACTAGCAGGAATAAGTCGCTAAAATCAGAAGCTACCTCTGTGGGAAGCTGGGGTGAGTTTCTCTTCCACTTTGCCCTCTTTGCTGACTCTCTGTTACCCTGCCTTATATGGCCTCTCCAGCACCGACCCAATGTTGGTGTCTTAGAATCTCTGGCTCCTGGCCTTATGCCACAGGATGGGGTCCTTTGCCTTTTCTTCCATTTCAGAGATTCTTGCCCCTGGCATTTTCTTGGTACACACTCCTGGTACACACATTTTACTTTCAGCTCTGACCCCAGCCCCAACCTAGACCAAAAGAGCCATGGACAGTCTGCTCAAAATCTAAGAACAAACACGCATCAGTCTGATAGCTGACAGGAGTCTGGTGGGCTCCCTGAGGAGCGACCGTCCCAGTTGCCATACCCTTGGCCCTGACTGTTACCACCTGTCCAGTCTTGGCTGGTTCTAGATAGATCCTGAGCTCATGTGGCAAACGAAGGGAAAGGGGGCATGTTAATGATCTCAGGACAGTTTTCTGTCAATTAAGGTTTACAAAGTACTTTGTAAGGGTCTGTGAGGGTCTGCACTTTCTGTGAGGGTCCAGGAAGCTGGTGTCAAGATTACAGAGGAGTAAACTGGGAAGCTGTCACTTGCCCGGGGCACATAGCTAGGAACTGTCTGAGCCAGCCTCAGCTCCCAGGCCTCTTCCCAGCCAATGGGATTTGGGCAGGGAAGGGCTTGATTTGGAAACAGAGGACCTGGGCCAGAATCTTGGCCCTTACTAAAAACTGGGTGACTTTGAAAGGTAAGTTCCTTTGCTTCGGGACTTGGCATCCTCAATTGATACAATAAGGTGGATGGATAACTGGGGTCCCTTACAGGTAGAAATTCATGATCTTTTAACCCCGAGCCCAGCATTCCCTCCAGCATGCCCCCTGGTTATCAGCGTGGCTACTCTCGCCTTGGTACCCATTAGTGGAGGCAGTGAGGTGGAGCAATGTTGGACCCAGAGTCAGGGAGTCCTGAGTTCAAATCCAGCTTCAGACACTTATTAGCTGTGTGACCCTGGGTAAATCATTTAACCTCTATTTGCCTCAGTTTCCTCATCTATAAAATGGGGATAATAATAGCATTAACCTCTCATGGCTGTTGTGAGGAATCAAAGAGTTACCATGTGTGTGTAAATGCTAGCTACTATTCCTGGAGAGTTAATATTAAAGAAAGATCACTTGATTTGGCATCAGAAGCCCTAGTTTTGAATTCTAGCTCTGTCCCTTGCAAGCTGGGAGACCCTAGCCAAGTCACTTCCCTTTTCAGTGCCTCAATTTCCTTCTTAAAATGAGAGGTTAGGACAAGAAGGCCTCTTCCACCTCTTGTTCCTGGTCAGATGAAGATGTCACCATGGCAACCAGCAGTGGACCCTGGAGGACTCCTGTGGGAATCACACAGAGGCAGCCTCCTCTCAGCCCAGTGATGCGGGGGCCTCAGCTTCCCACGGTTCACTTAATTTATTACTTTGTTGTCTTGGGAGCTCTGAGTGTGAATGCTGGCAGCATTTTTTTTTATGAAATAAATTGAGATGTGTGAAACAAGTGGCAGGCTCTGATTCTGGCCCGCTCAGAAGGATGCACGGCTTCAGCATCGTCACAAACTCACTCCCCGGTTGGGCGCCACGTTAATCAGAAGCCTCTGGGTTCTTACTTTTGATAGCAGAACTGGACCGAGAAGGACCAGCTCAGGGCTCCCCCGGCTTCAGAGCCTTCCAGGCAGCGTCCTGAGCCCCCTTATGACACGCCCCCCACTCACTGCCACCCCAGTTCAGGCTGTTGCTCCGTCCTCTTCCTTCCGCCTCTCTCCTGCCCTTCACACTCATCCCTTCTTCCCTGTGCACAGTTACCCTAGGGCCAGCCCCCATCGGCTCTCCCCCAGACCCTTGTAACAGCTTCCTCACGGCTTTCCCGGACTCCACTCCAAGCACCTACAGCGTCCAAGGCTCTTAATCAGTCACTGAGGCAAAAAGAAGACAATACGCCCCTGATTCAAAGCCTTGGAGTTGCACTGGGAGCGGGGCGGGGCGGGGCGGGGCCCGTAGAAGAAACTAATAAGTGTATACCTGACAATTTAGGGAGGGGGGAGACAGTATTGATTATTAGGAGGTAGGGAAAGTTTCCTCTGGGAGATGCATGGAAGCTGCCAAGGAAAAGAGGGATTCCAGGAGGCAGAGGCCAGGAAGGAGCGAGTTTCAGGCAGGAGCTTGAAGTGGGTTGGGGGAAGAGAGCCTGAGTGGAGGGGGGAATCGTCCGGCCAGCTCTGCTGATAGTGAGCGGTCCAGCTCGCTGGAAGGGAGCATGTGGCAGCTGTCAAAAGGCGCGGACTGGCCCGGCACTGGCCCGGCACTCTCCTACTCAAAACCATCCGGTGACTCCTGACTGTGCTAGGATAAATAGGAAGTTTTCAGTGTGGTATTTGAGGCACTCCACCAAGTGTGAGGCACTCCACCAAGTGTTTTAACATCCCCAAGCAGGCTGATTTCACATTCGCCCTCTTTTTGCATGCTAGATTTCAGCCAAACCGGACTGTCTGGCCTCTTCCTGACTGCGTCCTGCTGTCTCTGGCTTCTGGGCATTAACTCAGGTCATCCTGGATTCCTGGCTCCTCCTCCCTCCTCACCAGTCTCTGACAAACCCCTTCTCTTCCTTCAGGAGTCCACTGAGGGGTCACTTTCTCCCTGCGTCCTTCCCTGATCTTTACAGCCTGAAGTCTTCTCTCTCAAATTTCCCCTAGAACATTGTCTGAATGGCCTCTTTGAACCTATTGATACTCCTGAAGGGCAGGGACAATTATTGTTATTATTATTATTAGCCTTTCTTTGCATGTCCAGCTCTTAGGCACACACAAGCAAGTAGGGGAGGTGGGATTTAAACCCAGGGCCTCTGACTTCAGAGCGAGGGCTGTTACCAATGTGCCATCCTGCCTCCCCATTCCCTGAACAAAATCTCAGAGGAATATAAGATTTCTCATCTTCCATATTTTAATATCTTCATAATTTCAACTTTTCAGATGGTTCCAGGTAGATAATTGATGTATTTAATCTGGATGATGTCAACCATGCCTCCCTCTTCTGCCCTGCCCCCCCCCCTTGAAATCTCTGGATAGTGGAGACAGACTTGACCAGGGGAGGGGAGAGGTTTGAATGTTGACTTCCATTCTTCACTTTGCTCGTGTGCACCCGATGATGTTAATGTGTAGTCTTTGTCTGTTGGCATGGATTGCGATCCCCCTGTACCTTTAGGTAAGAGTCTTAGTGAACCGCCTAATTTCCAGGGAGACCCCAGACAACTAGTGTCAGACATGGAATTTGAACTCAAGATGTCCAACACCCTGTGTCCCATACCACACATCCTCTTTGTAAGTTAGATAAACAACTATTTGTTAGATATCTGCTGAGGGGACACAAGCAGGTAGAGGTCCTCTGCTTTCAGGGGCTTACAACCTAGTCGTGAGCCAAAAGTTGACTTCACTTTTTTTTTTTGGAGCACCCCCAGAAGATCTCATTTGCCTACTGTAAGAACAACCATCCTTGGGACCTCATGCCTCAATGCAATGTAAGAGAACAGAGAATATGGAGTTGAGGAGCTAGGTTTGGGTCAAAACTCTGCCTCTTAGTGCCTGTATGACCTTGGGCAAATCACTTCATCTCTGCGGGCCTCTGTTTCTTCATCTATAAAATGAGGAGATTGTGGAAAAGGGAATAGCCTGTTCTGTTGGGCCCCAGTGGTAGGAATGATGATGAAGGCAAATTTGGGCTGTTGGTGTTTGGTCTTTTTTTCAGATGTGTCTGACTCGTTGTGACCCCATTTGTGGTTTTCTTGGCAGAGATCCTGGTGTGGTTTGCCATTCTCTTCTTCAGTTCATTTTATAGGAAACTAAGGCAAACCGGGTCAGGGTCACACAGCTAGTAAGTGTCTGAGACAAGATTTGACACAATCTTATTCTCATAGGATTTGGCTTAAGGAGGGAATAACATACACACTTAATTGGGCATAGAAATCTGTCTTACCCTACAGGAAAATAGGGGGGAAAGGTGACAAAAAAGCAGGGGAAGGATAGAGGGGAGGGCAGATTGGGAAAGAGGGTAATCAGAAGTAAACACTTCTGAGGAGGGACAGGGTCAAAAAAAGAATAGAATAAATGGGAGGGCAGAATAGGATTAAGGGAAATAGAATTAGTTTTTCACAACACGACTACTATGGAAGTGTTTTGCATAACTGCACATGTATAATCTATATTGAGTTGCCTTTTCAGTGAGGGTGGGTGGGGAGGGAGAAAGGGAGAAAATTTGGAACCCAAAGTTTTAAAAACACATGTTTAAAAAATGTTTTCACATGCAACTGGGAAATAAGAAATATAGGAAATGGGGTACAGAAATCTATCCTGCCCTACAGGAAAGTAGAAGGGGAAGGGGATAAGAGAAGTGGGGGGGAGAGATAGAAGGGAGGGCAGACTAGGGGAAGGGGTATTCAGAGTGCATGCCATCTTGGGGTGGGGGGAGGGGTGAGATGGGGTAAAAATTTGGAACTCAAAATCTTCTGGAAGTAAATGTTGAAAACCAAAAATAAATACATTTAGAAAAAAAGATTTGAACTCAAAAAGA